GAAGAACGATAAACTGTCTACCGGTACCGTACACAATTTTTAACGTAATAAATAAAACTTAAAACCAACCCTTGGTTACTACATAATTAAACTTTGGTTATAATCTTTTCTTAAAATTATTCATTTTAAATGTCTTATCATTATTTAGCTGTTTAAGGATTTAACATTAACGAATCACAGTGATAGCAGCCATTTCCGGCTTCTTGATCAAAATAAAAAAATGACAATTTTGTACCCCCACTCCTTCGTGGGATGCATAACTTTTTATAGACAAAGTCAAGATAATAACTCAAACAATGAAAAAACTCTTTAAATGAATGTAGATTGGGTATCACTAAACCTTATTTTGGTTGCTTAACTAGTAAAAAAGTATTATATGCGATTTATATACTAACCGAGTCATTATTATAATACTGTCCGGGATACACAAAAAATCTAGTGGCATAAATCAATATATCACCGGAACACAAAAACTGATACGTCACTGATGAGGAAAGCATTATTTAATAAACAAAGGCTACGTAGTATGCAATTTTCCAAAGATACCGTGTAGCCGTACGCCATATTGTAGAACACATTTTTTCGACATTTTAGGACATGCGCAGAACGGTGCGTGAACAAGTATTGTTATCCCTAGTATCAGTTAACTATAACTGCCTGTATTTCATTAATAAAGAATACACATACGTTTACATGATTAAATACGAAATGCGTTAAGAAATAATATACGCACCTGAACTCCACTTTTACCATACCGAAATAATATACGCACCTGAACTGCAATTTTAACCAAAAAAAATTATTTTGAACTTTTAATTTTTTCACTTAACCTACTTTAAGTTTGCAAAGTCTTTTGTAGTGTTGACATTCGCCTACTGATTGAGTAGACTCCTTCGTTGTTTCCTTTTCAGCAACGTTAGCATCTGCAGCTCCCGACATTTCTGCTTTGCTGGACATTTTGAATTCTTTTTTAAGACTACAGAATTTGTCAATTTACAAGTGCCTTTCATATAAAAGATACAGTCACTCTTCAGCTGGCAAGATCACGATTGTCAAAAATATGTAAATTAGAGATTGATTTGGGAAATGGAAATGAACGAAACAAAGTATGGGAAAATTTGAAAAGCGGAAAAAAAAAATCCCCGGAACAAAAGTCACGGGGAAAAAAGTCAAAAATTTCGCTGGAAAAAAAAGTCACAGAAAAAAATCACAGTAAAAAAACAACAAAAAAACTCACAAACAAAAAAAGTTTTTTTTTTTAAAAGTTAGGGACTGTAATACAATTGTCTGAAAGAAACAAATACAAAAAAAAATTATAATTTCTTATTCAAATTTATTATTCTGCGAAAAATTATATAACAAACTCATATTCGTGTATAATATTATGAACTTGAATAAATTATGCCAAGATTGGGGAACAAATGTCCATCGACTGTTGAAAAGTTTTATGTTGATGTTCTTGCATTTTATACCAATGCAATGCAGTCGGTGCAATCCAGAAAAGAATGCCTAATAGCAACAGAGTGCTGAAGCTCATGTCAGTACTAAAACCCACTAACAGAATATCGGTGGAACAGTCGGAAATTTTGGAACTGGCCCAGCTTTTTACCACAAATTGTGTCTCCAGCAGATTTTGATTGTTTAGAGGCCGAGTTTATTGACTACCAAGTTGCGGATTTAAGCAATGTCAAGGCCCACGGAGGTGCTTTTTTGCATCAAATTGGACAAATAACTAGAAATATCGAAAACAAAGAGTACAGATTTCCTCTACTTTCGAAGTTTGCACAAACAATGTTGGCGCTCCCACATGGCACAGCAGAAGTAGAACGCGTTTTTTTCTGCTGTTAGTTTATTGAAAACCAACCTGAGAAACAAATTGTCTACTCCAATGTTGGAAAGTTTACTGACTGTAAGAAATGGACCGGGAAAAATTGCTCCCACAATGATCGACAGTGTAAATGTTTCTATATATGATCATAAGCAGGAGGAATTAAACACTGTCACTGATGATGAATGTCATACAATAAACTTACGTTATAAAATATGAGCATGGTAATGGATACTTTACATTTTGTAGCTACAATGCTTGGATTATGCTTCATATTCGTTCGTTTCAAGGTCAACATTTTATGTTAAATGTGTCCGTAAAAAATTGTTTTTGTCCGTAAATTTTGTTGAGAGTTCTTATATTTGTCAGTAAATGTTATTTTATTGAGTTGGCAACCCTGCCCCCCCCCCTCCCCACTTAAATGAATTTTATTATAAATAAATTTATAAATACGTTTCACTTTGTGCTGATCTATTTTAATAACAAAAAAATTGTAGCAATAACATTTTATTGCATCTTTAGCTTGTTAATCAACCAGTTAGAAAGTTTTTACATTTAAGTTTATAATGCAGGATCAATGAAAACGTCGTTAAAGCCTAAATATCATTGTTTGTGGAAGTAGAAATATGATTATTGTCAGTAGAGCTGACAACTGTAGCTTAGTTTTTAGCTGCTATCATCTTCCCTGGGAGAAGCCATGTGTTGCTCTATCGTAACAATGGGCATAGTAGCTGATTTATCATTTTTATCTTGCGGAACAGATATACTATCAAGTCAACATCATCCTCATCTAATCCTTCAGCACTTACAATAGAAGCATTTTCAGTGTGAGCAGTAGTTGCCATAAACTCTCTCTGTCTCCTGGCAGCTACTTGCATTAGTTGAATCCTTTTTTGTTGAGGAGCGGTGATAATTTCTTACGCATTGTCGGTGCTGTTGAACATGCTATTTCAACATGACTTGTGATGCAAAATAGATGTTACAGATTTTGCAAATCCATTCAAGCAGGACATGATGGATGTTACAGAGACCCCTTGCAGTTGCTTCTTTTGAAGTGTTTAGAAATGGGACACTGCTAATCTTGCGTAATATTATTGGTGTGTTCAGTGCATCTGTTATAAGAGTTTGCATCCTTTTTAAATTAAAAAATATTTGTTTTTCCAAATAAAACAATATGTATTTAATGACATTTGATTGTTTGGTTGTCTTGATCTGATTTTGAGGCTCTTTGGATTGTGAAATGGTCATCAGAAGTCCGTTTTTTTTAAATTTTAAAGCTCATGCTAATGTACTAGAGTAGCTGTGAAGATTTTAATTTTACCCATCAGTTCCATTTCACTGACGCGAAAAGTTGGCCAATTTCAAAGTGAAATTGATCTTTTACATGTGAATTTAAAACAACAGACCAGCTTAAAAGTACCCGGTATCTGGTTTAAAAACATTGTACATCTCACTCTTAAAAACTTGTTAATGAATGTCAAGTGGTAAATTATATTTACACAAGTTTAATCTTGGCCTTTAGTTAATATTTCCATTAAGTACCATACAGGTTACATTCCTGATATATTCACTGGAAATAAAAAGAAATGAAAGTGAAATACAAACAGGAGATAAAGCAGACAAAAACGTCTCGTAGACAGAAAAGTTAAAACTTTAATGAAATGTGGCATGACATAATCATATCTAAAACTTCAAGCATCTGATATTTAAATGTTAGTAATAATACTGTCTCTCAAAACAGAGCTGAGTAAAGGTAACAAATAAGATACCAACATAAAAATTCAGGAGTTCAAAAGAGATTAAAAAATACACACAAAAAAACAGTGGTCATTGTATAATTATAGTTTAAAAATAGTCCCAGCATGTAAATCTAGGAGAAAGCCATTTAAAATAATTCACATAGAATTTATAATGTAAGTATCAAAGTTAAATTTAAAAAATCTTATGAATATTAATCAAATCATGTTATGATGGAATGCTTTATAACTATGTGCCACTGTAGGCAAAGCTGAGAGTGAAAACATTAAAACTAACATTGCGGTATTGTATTTGGCAGAGTTATGTTAACATGGATCAACTTAACATAGATCAACTGATGACATCTATATAAATCACCCAAATATTATGTGATAAATTATTCTAATGTACATTTTTATTGAGTGTAACCATTTTTAATTTTTGTTGTCTTGTATTCAGGTAGATACAGTGATAAATGTTTTACCCAATTCTAAGCTTTAGATAACCTTTACAATCTCCCTAGCAAGTGGAAAGAGTTCTTCATATAAAAACATGTAAGAAAATATATACATACATAACAGGTTGTTTTTTTTTTTACAAGAATTTTGTGGGCTATTTATATTTATATTTTTTTTACAATTTATATTATTTATATTGTAAGAATATTTTCAATCACAAAATGGCCCTATTTAAAGACAGCATTAGATGAAACATCGCCAACACTTGAATGAATGGAAGCTACAACATTCCTGATAAGAAGAACAACATGATCATCATGAATGACCAGCAAATATAACAAGCTGAAACCTGTGGCAACCAAGTCAATATGGCTACCAAGTCAATGTGTTTAGAAGTGTAAATTACTTTTGACTGTCTGGCAAACCAAGATGACTAAATCTACAGCAGGCATGTATGTAGCTCTCAGACCTTAAGTTTTCTTTGCACAACCGATGTGTTCAACAACAGATCTACAGCCCATGTCAATCTTAAAGCTGACATGAGACGAAAGCACCAGCAGTTGCAAACACTTGTTAAACCAAGACAACACCATGTGATTCTGTTGTGTGGACATGAAGAACAAAATTAAAATACTTAAATGAAAATTGAACAGCAGGTCTTTACTTGTTGGCAGTAAAATATGAACCGTGGAAGCCCCACCCTGATGAGATCAACAATTATTAATTTTGTTCACACTTGTAAGCAGAGACGATGCCGTCACATTAACCACTAAACTCCCATCACTTACAGAAAGTATCTTTGTCAACTTCATCAAATATTCCCATTACCTCCAGATGCAGAGTAAATTATATTCAACAAGAATCCTGATCTATGAGCTTAGTGGTAGTGACAGCGAACTTGTTCTATGAGCTCAGTGGTAGTGACAGCGATCCTGTCCTATGAGCTTAGTGGTAGTGACAGCACTTTGAGCAAGTTTACATGAAGGTTATTAAACTCAATTACAAATTATACAAATAAAAAAACAGATCAAAATCTCAACATGTAATTTTGTCCCCAATGTACGTTGTCCATATGGCATGTGTATGCTGTCAATATGATGTGTATGTAGTCAATATGACATGTGTACACTGTCCATATGACATATGTACATTGTCCATATGACATGTGTACATTGTCAATATGACACGGGCTGCTACTGTTAATAAGTCAAAGTAGCTGTTTTACCCAAATGATTTCCCATACAAAAACCTGCCAAAAGATTACATATTGTAACAGAATACGGCATAACATGGAAATACATATGTTTAAAAACTGAATCCTTGATAAAGATGATAACATGTATACTCATTCATAAGCCGATTTTTAATTAGTTGACTGTCTTAATTTTTAATAAAGTTGTCAACACTGATGCTCACTTCCCATGACTATGGGCATATTCTCTAACCACAATGAACATTTCCAAAAATATGACCTCAGCAATAACAAAGCAATTTCATGATTCAATGTAGGTACTTTGAAACAAGGTAAGATAAAATAGTATAACATAAGATTAGATATTTCTATTGATCTAAATAAATGAAATTTTATTTCATCATTCATCGTACACATATTTTACAGTCTTTAAAATCCTTGTTTGAGTTTTTTGTTGTTCCTTAAAATTAGTCTGTAGCAAGACTTTCATCAAATAATTTGCGTTAAGTCTAACTGTTGAGTTCTTGAGTTTGAGTTGTAATTTTGAAGAGTCTTGGCTTTTTGTTTGAACGGAGGTCTTGTTTTTTTTTCTTCCCACAATCATGGACATATGTGGCCAATTTTGCACACTGCTTCCTTCTTATCTTTACCTCTGTTACTTACTGTTTTCTTCCATGTTTTCTTTTATGGAATAGAACCACTGTTATGGTAGCTGGAGTAATTGATAAAAATCTCCCATGACCAGCTCATAAGCCGAACATCCCACTTATTCCCCTGAAATATTTCCCAAAAAAGTTGGCTTATGAACCAGTCTATACAGTAGCTATATGTTTGAAAGAGCAGTCACTAAACCAAGATGGCTGAGGCAAATTGCACAGTAGGAAAGGTAACTCTTCACATTAACATGATTAAAAAATCAATCAGCACATAGACAATTGAAACTGTATTTAAATGAAAAGCATTTTCTATTTGACCAGTAGACACGGACTAGTATTTGAATGGCTATTAAATTATTCTGCAAAATGACATAGTCTGACCAGGAATGAGGAATTGGTTGAGGTATAATAAGTGGTGAGTGCAGAAATTGTACCAACAGATGGGATTTCATCTAAAAGATATTCTGAGAATTATTCTCCTTTATTAGTATCGGTTTGAAAAATATCAAGAAATCACACGAAAATTTGTGGTCCACGTACAACGCCTAAAAGCAGAAGTAGAATATTATTTCATTCTCAATAGCTTTCAGTGACGTACTATTCATCTTGCCCATGTGCCAGAATGAGCTCACCAAAGTAAGCTGTAATGGTCTTGAGTTTCTTGTTCAGAAAGTTCTGCTCTATCTCCACTTGTTTCCCAACTCCAGCTAAAGCTGTCAACTAGAAACAAATACAAGAATCAAAATGAGGCATTAAAAATGATGAGTGACGCGAGTTGCACAAATTTATTATTTGAAATCAAAACCAAACCAAATATACACATATAGTTAATGTGGGAATGTTTGTATTAATACACAGCAGTTGAAATTTAGCAAGAATCAATAATAGTGCACTCAAACCAACATGACCACCCATTCCATCAGAAAAATACAAAATTAAAAAAAATTCACTGTTTAAAAACCATAAATTCAGTGGGACGAGTATGTAAAAAATTTTTTAAATAAATTCACTCAAATGTAATTTCTCACCTTCTCAGAGTCTGTGTTTCTAGGAAGGAAGAATGCAATGTTATCAGTGATGTTCCGAGAAACCTCCATCAGATGTGCAGTGTGACAGTTAAGGATATGACCATAAGAAAGATGAAATGGATAAAAGCCAGTCAAACTCCAATAATGCACTCCTGCACAATGTAATCAAGATGTGACCCTCTCAGCAGCCTAAACAAAGGGCCAAAGCTGCATTTTAAAATTCAAAATAAAACAATGCCCAAAAAAAAGATGCATGACCAAAAAACAGCAAAAGGTGGCTTGTGATGTGTTAGGCAGGGAGGCCTCTGCTTTGTGACATACAGCCAGCATACAATTAATAACCTACTCGTAAAAAAGGATATGCATTGAATCCAGCCATATTGTCAAGGTCATAAACATCTTTGCTGAGGTATTCAGGCCCACCCCACGGTGGGCTCAGGAACACAACATCAGCATTAAGTGATGGAGCCAACTGCAAGATAAAGGGTCCTTCACATAGATATTTATACATTAGTACACATATACAGTTTAATTCCCTTGATAAGCAGTATCAGTAACTATTCATCCAATCATAATTTAGAATCATCCTTTACACAAAACCTTCTCTAACCAATCTTGTGGAACCAATAAAATTTTTGAATTTCTTACCTGCAGAAAGTCCCCATGAATAAACTCTATACGATCAGCGACACCGTAAACCTCTGCATTATGTCGGGCCATTTCCAGTTTGGATTTGTCAATGTCTACGGCTATAACTATAAACATAAAAAAATGTTTCAGGGTTAAACCAACTTGCAATATTATCATTGTAAATTTAGAACATATTTAAAGAAGCACCAGTGCTCTTGTTGAAACAAATAAGAATCTGCTTCATTAATAAGTAATTCCAAGAATAAATAATACTGGTAGTTGTAAAATTTATTTTAAAAAAAAAAAAAGAAGAAGAAGAATGTAGCCCATCATTTAATGTTTACAGAGTACAGAGGCTAAGTGTTCCTACGAATCCAATAAATGGGATCACTTAAACATGGTCGACTAAATCAAAATTATCAGCATTGCTGTCATATTATCATGGATACTTAAGGAAGGGCAGGTTGTGCTTTAAAAGGCTGGGGTGTTTCAGACAAAAAAGAATGAGGCAGATTATAAGACACAGTTACTTTTATAGTATGGCATTATCTCTTATATATTCATATATATCAATACATTTGAAATACAGCAGAAAGTTCTTTGGTATTATTAGCTAAAGAGAACCTGGGCTATTAACATTTTAATTTAACCTGCATCTCCACAGAGAGAATAAAATGGGAATTTACCTCTATTACAGGTGAAAGCAAACTGAATAGCATTTCCTCCTGCTCCACAGAAGCCATCCACAATAATATCACATTGGCACCGTTCTGCTATATGCGCAGCTATGGCCTCAGGGGTCACGGAAAACCAACTCTCTGTAGATTAGTAATAGAAGTAAGCCGAATAATTTGAACAGTGTAGAGATGACAACTGACACCTGCATGGCTGCACATGACTGAATCTAGAACACGCATTGTCCATACAGGATATAAGTGAACTTCAACAAAACTGAAACAAGCAATGTCTTTAAAGGACATACCTAAAATAATCTAATTCCATTTCTATTAAATCATTGCCATTTATTTTATGAATTTGTTTTTTTTTTAAAATAAAAAATACAATTAAAGACCAGCACTCAAAAAAATCAACACAAGAATATTTATAATTTCTACCTTTATCGAGTATAATACCCTCATCAAATTTTCGGAATAGTCGATATCTCTGGTACCAATATTTCCGCAAGACTTGATCGCCTGCCAAATCTTCTGGGATGGGAACTGTTGGCTTTCTCTTCCTGTTTTTCTTTTTCTTTGTTTTCTTCTTCTCTGATGAGCTGACAGCTGAGCTGCCGTCTGTTGCTTCTTGGGCTAGTGAAAGAGAAGAATCCTCCTGATCATCATCTGCATCTTTCTCAAGGGAGACATCTTCATCAAAGAAGCTACTGTAGGGCTAGAGATAAGAGATACAAACAAAAGTTATAATAACAATATATCATTTGCTTACATTTACATCTGTAGTAATCTTTATTACATTTAAACAATAATTTACCCTATTAATTTCTATGGAAGAGCACACAAAAAAAGTTCTCTTAGACCATGATCAATCTTTCATACCATCATGCCCCATGCAGCAATCCCTCCTACACTCATGCTACAAGCAACAATAAATAAACATTGATAATATTGAACACTTTTCAACCCCATCATGATATTTAGTATAGCAATATTCCAGATCATAATTGTTAAGACCATGTGAGAAATTATTTCATTTCATTCATATTCTTAATTTTCTGTATTAAAGGACATAACCTATAACTATAATTATGTTAACAAAAGTGAATAAATATTTTAAAACTAAAACGTAACACACTGATTTTTGGCCTCATGTGGGGATAGACTGGTGCTGCTCTTCTATATTTTTAACACTAAAGCCAGATTTCTATTGGCACATATAATAATACTACACTAATATTCAAAATCTTTTGTCTCGTCAGTGAATTCAAGGCTAGCAAACCTTGTTCTTATATTTCTTTTACACTAATATTAAACAGTTTTGATGTCTAATTATATGGGGAATTAAAGTAGTGCTTACTTGTGTTCTAAAGCAGTTCTTACAGTTACTTGTGTAATAAAGTAGTGCTTACTTGTGTAATATTTAATGTACTTGTCTCTTTTTTTACTTCTTGAGGGTTCCCATCATCATCAAAAACAACATGTTTGGCTTTCGCAATAGTTACGTCCTCATCCCCCTTGGGTCCCAGGTGGGGAGTTCTGCCAAAATCTAGGTGAAGACGTTTAGCTTCTTTCACGATATTCCTCCTCTTGTAGATAACTGAGCCATGAATGATTTTACGTTTTCTGTTTTCTCTGAAGAATGAGCAACAAAAAAAAAAATGTTTTAATTCTAGATAAGGTAAACCATTTAGAATTTTATAGGTATCATTTATTTGACAACAAAACCCACAACAATGGAAATGATTAATGATTAGAGCGTTAAGTTCTAAATGATAACAAGGATTTCATCTAACTATTACTTAGTAGCAAAAGATTTTGCAATTAGGTAACAGTGATAATTTTTGGAGGGAAAAAAAAAAGTGTTTTTTTTTTTTTTTGCTTGAGTCAGTGAAAGCCACGAAAAGATTTCTTGAAGGACAGTTATAATCGGATATTACCTAAGATTTTCATCTTTTTCTATAGCTAGGCCAAGCAGCTCTAGTGTCTCGGGAATGCTTTTCTTTTTACCTTCAGCTGAAATTAAAACAAACGAATCTGAGTACAGTAGAATGATAGACTTGAACTTTTACAAATTGTCTTATGTAAATGTAGAAAACAATGTAATATTAACAGGTAATTTTCCATCAATTCATTTTGCAGGAATGCAAGGCCAATTTTATGAATGTCTAATAACAAATCTTAAATCTTGTTTCAATCAATAACAGAACGACTAACCCATTTCTTCCAAATCCTCATCGTTGCTAAAATTGTTAAATCCATCCTGTTCACAATCCACAACATTCTCAGGTGTCTCCGTGTAAGGATTGGCCAAAGTAATGATGTCCTCATCTAAGGAGGACAGATCAAAGTCCTCCTCAGGAGTGTCTCGCAGCCATTGGCTGAACTTTTCTTTGACATGCCAGTAGATTTGATTCTTCAAGTCTTCATGAGTACCTCTGAGCATGACTATTAAATCATCATGACTGCTGTAATACCCAACCTGTTCACTGTTGCTGTCATCATCATCGTGACAGACATCCTCCTCCGAGCCACATCCTCCATTTGTATGGTTAAGTTCCTGTGAATCGCTTTCGTCGCTACTACCACTTGAATCTTCTTCCAAATTTTCCTGCGATGAATCAAGTATTGGTAAATTTTTCTGTACATACCCGTGATCCCCACCGTTCTCCACATTTTGGAGTGAAATAGACTGTTCTGTGAGACATTTGACTTTTTTGGTGCTTTTTACTGGAGCATCTCCTTGATCAGCCTGTGGTTTATGATTGCCATTTTCAACATGTCCTGTTCTTACTGGAGACTTATCAATACTGGCCTTACTATCTTCCTGTACACTTAGATCTGGTGCTGTGTCTGTATTAGAGGTAACTTTGTGCTCCGCATTGTTTACAAGAATAGAACATTTATGTCCACCCGTATCTGTAACATTCTCCTCACCACTACCATTTGAAATGCCCCCATTGTTATTTGTTGAGGTGACTTCCACCTCGACACCTGGTGGAATGGAACCCGCTATCTGGTCATAGTAGCTGGCATAGTCGGGGTATATGGAAACAAAGGAACGATATACTAGGAGTTCTCCCTTATCTTCCCATAGCGACAAGAAGCGGTTGCGAATTTCTTTCTCTGTCAGCACAGACTGAAAAGATAACATATAAAAATCCAATCACACAACACTAAGGAAAATGTTAAATTTACAATTTGCGTTTTTTGTCTAAATAAAAATACACAGGTAATCACCAAAGACAGATTTCAAACAGTAGTTTTGTAGGAAGACTAGACGCTATCTGATATACTACAAAAAAGATGATATTCAAAGTGTCATTGATTTGTTTGATTAAATGTCACTCTTTGTAGACGTTGAAGTGCTGTTTTTCTGATGGTTCACATTGACTGTTACAAATTGGCTCAGTGAGTCTATTTCTTGTTTCCATCTCAAGCAGATACTAATTGATAATATAATTTCTTGCCAATGCAAATACAGAAATTAATTTATTGACCAAAAAAAAACAGCTTAGTTCTGCTGAATTAATCATTGAATTTTAACATTGAACAGAATTTTTTAATCATAAAATATGCCCATCAAGAAAATAGTTTTAAACACTTTATAATTTATATCCAGATGTAGCAGTTCGTACCTGTGGTTTGGCATATTATACAACAGAGCAATACCTAACAATATTTCAAATATGCTAGCTCTACTAAAACAGATTTTACAGATCCCTTTAGTGAAATGAACTCAAATGAAATGAGCATAGTCTTTCTTGTTAAAGCTATGAATTTACTGTCTAATAACAAAGGTATGAGTTCACTATCTAATAACAAAGCTACGAGTTTACTATCTAATAACAAAGCTATGAGTTTACTATCTATTAACAAAGCTATGAGTTTACTATCTAATAACCTTATGTTTTATCAGTCCGGGAAAAAAATATGTCCATTTAAGTTTTCTTTTTTTAATATAAAGTGTTACGTCCTTAAAATTGTTAGCAAACCTTATTGGAGAAGCTTCTCTTGGATGAACCAAACTGCTGAGGTAGTCCCATAGCCTCCATCATGTGTGCATTATCAGCTGTTTCCCACCCTGTAACCTGGTCCTCGCCTTTGGTGCTATTATTTTCAAGACTCAAATTCTCAGTGTCTTCCACAATTTCAGCCAATGCTGCAGCACCTTCTAAATATCTTTTCAAACGCTCCTCTTTGCATTTGCTATTGCTCTCCTCACCACCCACTGCCCCGCGATGGCACTCGGAATCCTCTGAATCAGAGGAGCTTAAATCAAAGTTACCCAAACCTAAAGTGGATAGGCGCTTTGACAATTTGCTCTGATCACTCCTGAGGTTCTTCTCAAGTGACTCTGGGTTAGCACTCGATTGCTGTGTTGCTATGGATATTTCAGAATCTGTCACGTCTTCTTCAATGCTTGAACTGATAGATGCTACATCGTCAGGTGTGCTAATTTCAATGTTGGGGTAAAATTCTTCTTGATACCTCTGTTCACTGAAATATATTTAGGTAGACCACAATATATTATACATTTCGCTAGTAATTTAAAAAAAAAAAAAAAATTAAGTAAATATAAAAATTGATTTAAGGTTTTATTTTTGATTTGAAAATGACTTCATGAGATTCTGTTAAATTATTAATGAAATAAAATCTTCAAGAAGTCCAAAATTATAATGTATATCCAACATTACAAAGTTTCCACATGTCTAGAGCTGCAGAGAAACATTATTCTACACATAAATGATACCTTATGATACTTCTTGTTACATGAGCTCGCACTAAAGAAACTTCTGTACCTTCATCCTCTGTTAAGCAGGTAAATAATCGAAACTCTGCAAGAGTCTGCTGACTTGACCACATCTACATTGAAAATGGATGATTAAAGTTATACTTTAATTTTCATAATTTCAGACCACAACTTAAAGGGATAATTTATAAACAATTGAAATATCTTCAATAGTTATTAATTAAACATTCTGTCATTCAAAAAGATTTTTTCCCCCTCTGCTAACTAATTTTTCAAGCTAGACCCATTTATAAACCTGATACATTGCCACACAGAGGGAAAAGAGTTAAGGTCTGAAAGAAAATTTGTTGTCAGAATATGGTACTATATACCATGTATTAGGCTACATGCACTATGTCATAAAAAGTGACATAAAAACACTTACACTCAGTGACAAGTGGACTATTTTAGTAGTTTAATCAGTCCTTTGCTTTGCACTTACACTTTTTTTTGTCACCTATATAAAATACAATAAATAAAATAAATTATAGGCCTTCGCTCAAGGCTGGTCTAGTCTTTTAGAATGAAATTAAAATCATTAGAATATTAATAACTATTTCAATTCTAATTAAATGACCTAATAATAAAAATGAAGCAGGGCTGCCATGGGAAGTAGAATCAAAACAAGATACTTTATAAGGCCTAACTTTATAAACCTAACATGTTCATTATCTCCGAAATTCTATTGAGATTATAGGCAAGGCACGCAGCAAGCCAACACTTTCAAATCGAACCATGTCCCTTGCAGCGATTTCACCAGACCAGAGAAAGTGACTCAATTATATAAATTTAATAAGTATTTAAAAGACCTATACTATATGAGTATAAAAATTGCTGTTATAAAGAGAGTTTATATTACTAACTAATAACATGGAAAGGGTCCAATGAAGGTAAAACAAAAGTTAAATAATAGTGGACTACGATATAATTTAAAAAATAGCCCAGTTGTATACACTAGTAATTGCTGTGCACAGAATATTGTGTTTTATTGTGCGCTGTGTGTTATTTGTGCACTGTGTGTTAGTTTATTAGTTAATCAAATGAACGCTTTTGACACCACACAGAGGCATCTTTGATGAAAATTTTAAAACATTTTAACAAATATTAAACATACTACAGCTGTATAGCCTAGAGAATAGATTACAGAAAAACCAAGATCAACTTTCTAGCTCAAGTTGTTCAAAAGTTGTGAATTTTTTAGTAAGGATCTCAAAACCACTTTTTTACAAAGGCGTTTTCCTCCACACACAAGTGTGCCCTCCTATTTGGCTTTTGCTTTTACGCATATAACTTTATTATAAAATGATATATAAATATAACATTTACTGGGAATATAGTTAGATTTGAGTTTTACTAAATAAAACTACAAATTTTAAATTTAGTTATTGTTGATATTCCCCCCCCCCCCCAAAAAAAAATTCTTTAATGTATATAATTTTCATTATAAAACAAAACATGTTGAAAATATGCTGACTTGACACTTATTGTTATTTAATTAATTAGTTTACACATTTTTTTAAAAATTTCCCCAAAATAATACAAATTTTCTGTGTAATCGTTTAACATCTTTAAGTATAAGCAAATAATACAGGATTATTTGATTCATTTAGTTAAAATTTATGAGTATACTTTTTATTGTACCATTTTCTACATATGTATATTATTCCTATATGATGACAAAAAAATCAGTATGTCATTTATTTTAAGTTTGTAATCTTTTTTTACAACTCAACATGTATTGTTAAGAATCAACTTTAGAAAATAAAATAAGTTCTAGTCATTTGCTTGCGATAAGTAGAAGTTTTTATGATTGTTCTTTAGTAATATCTAAAGTAATTCTTGGATTATTGTGCCAGAAAGTGTGTTTTTTTCTTTGAGAAACTGAGGATTGTATAATAATTCTTTTGAGCAATATTGCGATATTTTAATACCAAAGGTAAGTGAATATTAAAATTTTTTTTACTTACTTTATGCCTTAAGAATCACAATATTATTCATTAAAATATAATTACATAGACATAGCCTGGCCTAAAATATCATTACATATAATTTATTATAATAGGCCTTACAAATATTTATAATTTATATTCTGCATAACCAATTCAATAAATTATTAATTACCCCACGGATGCTATCGATAATTGGCAATAAGCAGACAAGCACGGTGGCCATATGACAAATTACAGTCTAAAAAAAATTACATCTGGCTATGATCTGGGACTTTCGATTTTGAAGCCTACCCATGTCTACACTCATGAATTTTGGATATGTTGTAAATGAACCTAAATGAAACTAAAGGAGCAGGGTATTTTGATTATGGAGCACATTTAAAAAAAAAAGGTTATTGATGAGTGAAGTTTACCTATTTTTAACTTCAATTTTCAAAGCTTTAACCTTGAAAAAAAATCATACTTTATCATACGAACTCTCAATACAACAAACAAGATGTCGGCATTGAGTAATTGGCGGATGTAGAAGGTATTTATTAATATGCTAAAAAAATAAATGGAGGTCACCATTTTGACAAAAAAATTACGACACCTGTTTTTGGGAATTTCTGGGCGATACCGAAGTGACTACCACACATCACAAGTACAAGCCATGCTGCCATTAGGCTTGATTAGTTCTAATTCATCATATGTGAAAGTCATAAGTCATAAATAAATTAAATAAGTGTATGCTAAATATTAAATAAACTACTGGTAATTGGAATTCTACTTCTAGTACTACTATTCACTATGTTATTTAGTATTTATGTTTTTAGTATTTAGTCTATCAGTTAGTCTAGTCTAGTCATCAGTCTAGTTTAAACCGATTAAACCCATCAATAAAATAAATAAATAAATCAGTTACAGTTTCATTATAAAAAAAAAGAAGTTAACATTTATTATTAGTTGGTTTTTATGAATATGATTTACCTTTAGTTTTATAAACCAAAATTAAGAAGAGAAGCAATAGTTGCCCCAATTCCTTTTGACTCTCTCAAATGATCTGTTATCATGAAAGTGATAAAAATGTTAATTTTGCATCACTAAAGAACTCACAACAAAGAACGGAAATCGGAACAGCATTATTGCCAGAACCTAACCTAGATATTTAGGTATTACAGCGATAGTATCGTATATTTCAAATCAAATATTAAGTTTATTAATGAATGATAATTAAATTTATTTATTTGTACTGAATCACAAATATATCGGTTATTTCGCACAGTGAACATAGACATGGTTTTAAGTTATAATATATTAAAACTAAAATAATTTTTACAAACCGGCATTTATTTTAATGTCAACTATTGAATTGTAGCAGGCAGCAGTTTAAAATATATCTTTAAAAAAAGATAAATTTAATAAATTTAAAAAAAAAATATCAAAAAAAAAAAAAAAGTTCAATGGCTCTCAATCTATTACTATTTAATCTGTTGAAACAAGATTAGCTATTCCAAGGTTTAGTGCCACGGCTTGTGTTAAAAAAAAAAAAAATTAATAAAATTAAAAAAAAAATATCAAAAAAAAAAAAAAAAGTTCAATGGCTCTCAATCTATTACTATTTAATCTGTTGAAACAAGATTAGCTATTCCAAGGTTTAGTGCCACGGCTTGTGACCCTTGGGGCAAATAAAACCTAGATATCAAACAGTGTAACAGCTGCCCTTTAGCTGCGTTAAAGAGTAAAGACGTAAAGATTCACAATAGTAATAAAAAAGCGCAAAAAACGTATTATTATTGTTATGAGTGGTATCATTATATAGCGCGGTACCCCAGTCTAGGGCTGGGCTCACCGAGCTGCACATAGGTCTACACATATTAGCAAACATAATCATGGCATTAAAAAAGACATACATTTATTTAATTAAAAAACTGCTGTATAAAAACAAAACATACACACACACATAGGCCCTACATACTTATATATACAGGGTGTGCCAATAAAAGTGAGAACATCTCGTAAAGTCTAGGGCAACGTTTCATTGACAGAAGCATAAACGTGTGGCGTCGACGCTTGGAAAAAGTCGTTGAGAAGCAAGGAGGACACATTGAACATGATTTCTGATTAGCTAAACAATTTGAAGAAAAAAAAATCCATGAATAATTATAATTAATTAAATTATATTTTGAAATAACTCATATATACGAGATGTTCTCACTTTTATTGGCCCACCCTGTATATATATATATTCATCCCGCCCACCTCAGAACTATTTTACATGTCAAGCCATGGTCGAATCCAGGGCACCCAGCAGCATCGTTTGTCTGAGGGGGTGAGAATCAGTCGGGATAGTAGAGTTTGAAGAGATGTGTCTTAAGTGCAGCATCGAAGACCTGGATATATGAATATGGCATGTGCATAATAATTGTATAGCAATAAATGAAAAACATAAACTAAATACCCCCCCCCCCCAATTTTTTAACATAACCATCCTCACCCAACACACACATTTTGAAGAAATACATATAGGCCTATGATATCCCACAGCTATATGGCATGTGCATAATAATTGTATAGCAATAAATGAAAAACATAAACTAAATACCCCCCCCCCCAATTTTTTAACATAACCATCCTCACCCAACACACACATTTTGAAGAAATACATATAGGCCTATGATATCCCACAGCTTCGGCGTAGCTGGGGGTTAGACCTATGATATCCCACAGCTTCGGCATAGCTGGGGGCTAGACCTATGATATCCCACAGCTTCGGCATAGCTGGGGGTTAGACCTATGATATCCCACAGCTTTGGCATAGCTGGGGGTTAGACCTATGATATCCCACAGCTTCGACATAGCTGGGGTTAGACCTATGATATCCCACAGCTTCGGCATAGCTGGGGGTTAGACCTATGATATCCCACAGCTTCGGCATAGCTGGGGGTTAGACCTATGATATCCCACAGCTTCGGCATAGCTGGGGGTTAGTGGGGACGGTCAAATATTTTAGCGCACATAGTAAAAAACAAATCTGCAGTTGGCCGAAAGTACAACTCCTCCAAATAATTGCTTTCCCCACCAAACACACTCTTTCCACCTTTCCTTCGCCATTGTCCATAGACTATTCTACGTCCTCCTATCATCTATCAATTGTTGTCTATCCTACTGAGTCACATGGTTTTAAAATGAGTATTGAGCAAAAAAAAAGTTGACCTGTTATAAAGGACTAGATAGAGCCCGCCAAACTTTAACTTGCCATCTACTAGATAGAGCCCGCCAAACTTTAACTTGCCATCTACTAGATAGAACCCGCCAAACTTTAACTTGCCATCTACTAGATAGAGCCCGCCAAACTTCAACTTCCCATCTACTAGATAGAGCCCGCCAAACTTTAACTTCCCATCTACTAGATAGAGCCCGCCAAACTTCAACTTCCCATCTACTAGATAGAGCCCGCCAAACTTTAACTTCCCATCTACTAGACAGAGCCCGCCAAACTTTAACTTCCCATCTACTAGATAGAGCCCGCCAAACTTCAACTTCCCATCTCCTAGACATAGCCCGCCAAACATTGGCGACAGCAATGCGTGAACTTCCCATCTACTAAAGTTACTTGACGAAAACGTGAACTCAAGTGACGCACATTTAAGAATGCCAATTTCGATATACCCCTCCCCCACCCTTTTTTTTTTCATGATACGTCACTGCACACTTTTTATTTCACGTCCGTGAACTCTTTAAAAATAGCCGACCCGCGGCTTAGCATAGGGGGGGGGGGGGGGGGGGGGGGGGGGGGGGGGGGGGGGGGGGGGGGGGGGGCGGTAGCTCCAACGCAGTGCGCATGTCTCGAGACCAACGATGGGCAGGCAAGTGAAAGGAGGGGAGGGTTTGCTTGCATCTTGCTTGTTTGCTCTGGCGTATCTATTTATAGCCTGCGTTTTGTTTGCTCTAGTTTCGCTGGAGTATTATATATGGCTGCATCTATAGGTACCCGTGTACCTATAGTCACCAATGACTATTGGCACCCAGAGTGGCTCCTTACAAATTAAATTGCTTTGGAACCGGGTGTGATAACAATAATAGTATGAGAATTACTTTTTTAAAATTGTTTTTTCTCCTTGTTATTTTATAGATTCATAGTTTTATTCTTTTTAGTGTTTTTTTTTTATTTTTGCTTTTTCATTTTTCTTAGGACGGATAGATTTTTTTTCTTTCTTATTTTCTTTTTTAGTTTAAGCCATTTTCGTAGATCATTTTTTTTTTTAAAATCTAGTAATGAAGATGATTTAGATACATTTATTGTTTTCATTTGAATTTTAGAAAAGTAATAATATAAATTTAATTATTAAAATTAAATCCTTTATTTAAGATTATTTATGTGTATTGTTTAAGTTAAAAGATTTAATCACACAGTACTTTATGAATTAATTAGATATTCTAAATAATGAAAATTTCATTCATAATGAATTAATTTCAACTATTCCTCTAGAGGGCTTGGCTTAGTCAGAACAAAACCACCAATTTTAAATTTTTTCCTTGGCACTGGGAGTCATACATGCGGACACTGACTGTTTTTTCCTGATATCTCGAATCTCCTTTCAACAACTTTTCTCATTTGACTTGACCTAATTCACAAGGTAGTTGCAATGAACATCTTAAAGTTAAAGGATGCCATTGTATAAAGTATGAGAAAGAGAATTATTTTTGGAGGACTCGTCTTTTTTTTTTTACCATAGCTGTCTACTGGGTCTAAAACACTGGTACATAATTTAAAATTTAATAGAAAAACAAAACCTTTTTGACTTGAGAAAATTTAAAAAAATTTGTTTGGTTGTTAGTTATTTGAGTTGTGTACTCAAGTAATCCATAAAATAAATTAGGGGCCAGTAAGGAGTAGGCAGCCAATAAACTCATTCAATTAGGTCACATCATTCCTTTGCCATTTGTCTCCTTTTACTTTCTCACATTCTTTGTTGGTACCCGTACAGTTAACTATTGTTTGTGTCATTTCTTCATTTAAGTACAAATGTAATGATTGAGTGGGAGCAAATATATGTGATCTGTGAAGGGAGTTTGGTTTCAAGGCAAGTCATGACACATTGAAAATAAAATACTGATAACCCTAAATAGAGCCATTGAAAAAATATAGTACATACAAACCATACACAAACAGAAAGACAAAAATCCACTAAAGTTTATTTTTTAAAAATTTGTTGTGACTTTTATTGCAAAAAAATAAACATTTTATACCAATTTTGACTTTTACGCAAAATGAATAAAGACAAATTTGTATTGCATTGTATTGTAACTTATTGTACTGTATTGTAAATGAAACTTGGCATACACATTAAGAATAACAATTTATTAACATTGACATAAAGTTTAAAGAAGCTTATTACACAGCAGTTATTGGAAGTGTTACAAATGGTATGTATGTGGGGGTCACATAAATATTCGAGAACTCTTCAGCAGTAGCAAATGTAAAAATGTTATAAAACTGTTCTAGTTGGATATACCCGGTATATAAAAAAAAGCCTCCTGACTCTTGAATTTTGTAAAGAATATCAATGAAAAGAAGCATGCAATGTTTGAAGGCTGTAGCTAGAATACTGTTCCTCCCAATTCATTTGGCGTTCCTAAAAAATCCGGAAAATGCAAAATTGAGAAAAATGAAAAAAAGTATAATTTTTTTTTTTTTTAAATTAGAGGGCTGCATGAACGATATAGGATGCATACACCATGTACATATACCATTCATGAATTAAAAAAACAATTAGAAAACTAAGACAGAAAAGATAGAAAAAAAATAATTAACACACGAACCTAATAAAAAATATATAAATAAAAAAATTCTGAAAAATTTTCCTTTGAAATATTTGTTTAAAAATCATCCATCATTAAGTAGAGAATGTCAATATAAATAAGCATGCAATGTTTCAATTATGTACCGGTAGTTCCAAAACTATTCCTCCTGATTCATCAATTGACGTCAGAAAAAAAAAATGAAAATGCTATATCGATAAAAGCTGAAAAAGACACTTACAAATGCTTATTAAAAAAATAAAGGTTACTTGAACAACATTGGATGCATACATCATGAACACATTCCACTCGTTAATTTAAAAAAAACAACAATTT